TCTTGTTCCACATCCTTGCGCAGTATGTTGTACAAAGAGGCGAAAACGCAGTAAATACCAGTGTTTTGGGCATGGGCGCAATACTATCCCCTCCCCCCACCCCCACCCTCCCTCTTCCGGAAGCAAAATACCAGCGTGTGTGGGGTTAGGGCAACCTGTATTAGGGGACTGATACCTCCGCTGATAACTACCCATGAGCCTCCAAGCAGGGTTGAGAGCCGCCAACCCTAAACCCTAAACCCACACCCTATATAAGGGGTCCCCTCTCAAGCTCCAAAAAAGCTTCGGTGATATGAAAGCTTGGCGTCACCGTGCCAGTTTTGCAGACCTTCCGCAAATTCTCAGCAAGAAGCACGCTTCAGGGGTTGAGCATGTCTCTAAGGTTAAACCCGTGGGCCCCTAGTATGGGCCCTTAACCCTGGGATCCTTATACACCTACTCTATACCCTATATATACCCTTAAGGCATATTAAGGGCCCATACTTCTAACCTTAGACTGTCTACAACTTGCGTTTGAAGCTTGCAGGGACCAGTTAAAAATGCAACCCTACAGGGCTGCATAGACCTGGCAGACACCTTTAAGACGGTACAAGCAATCCTATGGAAGCCGAACTCCTAGAAGTCCCTGGGTCTTACAGTAAGAGGGAAGGGGGAATGGATGCCTTAATGGTGGTCCAGTCGGTAGTAAAAAACTTGAACCGTAAACCCTCAACCCTAAAACCTCAATCCTAAACCCTACACCCTCAACCCTGAACCCTAAACCAAACTAAGAACCAGGAAGACTGTCTGGTGCTTAGTAGGGAGTGGGGGAACGGGTCATAGGGACTACTATAAGGGACCTTAAGGGACTATCATCGGGATCCATTCCCCTATTCCAGCCTAAACCCTAAACCCTACTAAGCACCAGACAGCCAAGATGAGGGACGCGGCCAGGAGCTGGTCGGTAACCTGGAGGTGCTCTTCGCTGCTGGCACAGACACGACAAGCCAGGCTTTGTACCTCGCCATCTCGTTTAGGGGCTTAGGGTTGAGGGTTTCAAACTATAAATGCGTGCAGTTCAAGCAGAAAATATAGAACTTTGCATATATGACACAGTATAGCATAGTGTAGCAAAATCGAATGGCATGTTCGGATATATCAAGATGGAACATATCGCAACCTGTTACAGCCCAAGCCAATCCAACCTGAATCTAACCTCATCGACTGTTACATTATGGTTGAGCATCGTACATGCTGGAATACTGTTAAATACTAACGTAAAGTAAAGTGGCCTGAAATAGTGCTGTAGAATGTACTACAACATACTGAAACACGCACACACAGATATATAGATACAGGTAGTATACACAGTAATATAGCAGTTATGGTTCTGCGAGGATTTGACATGCCAGGCCTTATTTTTTTTTGGGCTGTGTGGCTCATGGCTTCGTGTGTAGGCGTGCTCGGAGGATTGTGAACGATTAGTGTGCTTGCTAAATATGGCTGAAGGGTTTAGGGGTTTTCGATTCAGGGTATAGAGTTAATGGTACTTGAATTGGGGGTAGAAGTTAGAAATAATCATTAAGTCCCTGATCCTTTCTAGAAAGCTCTGTAAAACCCACCTGAACCCGTATAACACAGTATATATTCCTGCAGAACCCTACTTACTGTGTCCCCTGATCCCCTGCTCCCTCAAGTGAGCTTGGAAAGAGGAGCACTTCCTGAACTTTGGACCGTAAGGCACACCATGATGTCTCTACCAACATATTTGGTTTAGGTCTTGGGAGGTTTAAGGTTCGGGATTTACAGATTGACGTCTTTGGAGACTGAAGTCTGCAATGGAAGCCGCCACAGGATCGCTTTAGCAAGGCAAGTGCTGCGGGTGAATTTCGTACTGCTGTTGATGGACAAAATCCTGCATGACCTTAAGGACCTTAAAATATGGGAATTATGGTATATTCCTTAAAATTGGTAATGCAGGATTTTGTCCATCAACAGTGTCAAGGAGCTTGAGCAGCATGCCCTGAAAGTCTAAGCAGCTCCAGGACCCACGCCCTGATCCCTAACATGAAACTCAGATCCCGGACCCCTAAACCTTGAGCCCCTGCCCTACATTCTAAACCCGAAACCTCCAAACCTGAACCCCAGATGTGCCCTCTTCCTACTCCTTCCGGGCCCTAGACCGCAAACCCTCGACCCGAAGTAAGCCCTGAGCCCTAAACTCTTAGCGGGGTAAGGAAGGGGGGGGGGGTAGTGGGTCATTATTGCTGTATTGAGGACCCCTACCCCCTCCCCCCACTCCCCAAATTCCCTAGGATAAACTCTAAAACATGAGCCCGAAACCCTAAACCCTAAACCCTAAACCCTAAAAGGCCCTAAACCCTAAACCCTAAAAGGCGCTAAACCCTAACCCTATAAACCCTAAACCCTAACAGGCCCTAAACCCTAACAGGCCCTAAACCCAAAACCCTAACCCTAAACCCTAAACCCTAAAAGGCCCTAAACCCTAACCCTAAATCCTAAACCCTAAAAGGCCCTAAACCCTAAACCCTAAATCCTAAACCCTAACAGGCCCTAAACCCTAAACCCTAAAACATCCGAGGAGTTGGGCCTTTTATCACCTTGCTCGACTGCCTGAGCTGCAGCAAGCTCTCGCGGAGGAGGCAGATTTCATTGGGTTCATGGAGATTTATGCGGGTCAACGGCTTTTTTTCTTTTTGTGGCCTTTGCGTGGGTTTTTTGGGGGTGCACAGGGGGTTCAGAATCCGAAAAGCCTGAAACTCTAAGCCAACACCCTGAACCCCTAAACCCTAAACCCCTAAACCCATAAACCCTAAACCCTAAACCCGACACCCGAAACCCCTAAACCCGAAACCCTGAAACCATAAACCCCTAAACCAGAAACCCTAAAACTACCCTGATCCAAACTTTGAAACCCCAGCAAAGCCCGAAACCGTAAACCCGGAGCTCCGTTGGTTCATAGAGTTTAGGGTTGAGGGTTTGGGGTTCAGGGTTTTGGGTTTAGGGTTTTTTTTAACTCTAGCTACCCTACATATAACCCAGCTTATAACTACCCAAGAACCTCCAAGCACACCCCTAAACCCTAAACCCTAAACCCTAAACCCTAAAACCGCTAAAACCCCTAAACCCTACTGGGTTTCGGGCCCAGGGTTTCGCGCTTAGGGTTTAGGGCACGAAGCTGTCAGGTGAAGTCCTTGGGGGGCGTGGTGACCCTGGAGCAGCTGGCACTTCACCGGCAGAGATTCTAGGGTTTAGGGTTTAGGGTTTAGGGGGCCTTTCTAAAAAGTTTAGGGGTGTTATAAGGGATTTATAAGAGGGTTTCGATAAGGGCTCCTTTAATAAGGGATCCTATAAGGGGTCTATACGGGTCATATTTGGAGGTTCATGGGTAGTTATAAGTAGGGTTAGAAGCAGGGTAGCTACAGTTATAACTACCTTTTTATAGGGGACTTAAATATGACTCCACTTATAACCCTAAACCCTAAACCCTAAACCCATGAACCTCCAAGTAGGGTTTCGGGATTTTCGGACTTGGGGTTCAGGGTTTAGGGCCTTTCTTGGGCGTTTCGGAAGGTTGCGTGGGAGGATGTCGAGAAGGGCGTTCCTATGCAACGCTAGATAGTCCGACTATGGAGGTCTGCCGTCGGGTATTAAACCCTATACCCCTAAACCCTAAGCCCTAAACCCTAAACCCTAACCCCTATACCCCTAAACCCCTAAGCCCTAAACCCTAAACCCTAAACCCTACACCCTAAACCCTAAGCCCTAAACCCTAAACCCTAAACCCTAAACCCTAAACCCTAAGTGGTTTCAGGCTTCACGGCAGTCCAGAGTGTGGGGTTCAAGGGTTTCTGGGCTTGGGGTTTAGGGTTTAGGGTTTAGGGTTTGGGGGTTTTGTGATTGTCGGTCTAGCGCCGGAGGACCTGTTAAGGTAAACTCCCAGCCAACTGCGTCTCTATCCAATCCTAAGCCCCCTTCGCTCCAACAGAAACCTATGCCAGTCTTCCTAAACCCTCGGCACAATCCAGCAAAACAATTCCCATAGAACGCCTTATAGCACCACCTCGCCTGACAGGAAGCCCTTTATACAGCGCTTTAGACAACCCTTTGTTGAGCTTGCTTTTCACCCTAAGCCCTAAGCCCTAAACCCCAAACCCTAAACCCTAAACCCCAAACCCTAAACCGACCTCACACTCCAATGGAGCGCCTGAGCCGCCGATTCAAGGACTCTTTGAAGTTGGTCAGTGCCATGTGGCTCGAGACGCTTC